AGTTTTGAATTCAGCGATCTCCTCAGGAGTAGCAATAGACTCATCAAGCTCTTTTAACTCCTTATCGAGGACATATTCTTTGTCCTCATAATGAGTAACCATCCTGATGTTCCTAATCCAATCCATGAAGTTGGAACCATCAAAGATGACCCTCCCACAAAGATTCATGAGAGAGAAAGAACCAGTTGGGTTAGAGCCCGAAGCATTAGGGTTGGACGACATCTGAAAGAAGAGAGTAGGTTTAGATTAGATATATAGGATCCTTAATAAGACACCCAAATGTAATATTAAGACTAGGATCCAATCCGAATATATTACTCTTAGAAGAGGGATGCCGTAATCTAAGTAATAATATATTTGAAAGGTAGGTGAATGACGATTCACCAATTTCCACCACGAAAACGAAATGATTTATTACGTTTAATTGGATTTGAAATTCCTAGATTCTTTTGAGATTCATTGAACTTTTCAATGGCATGTTTCAATCTCGATTGTGCCCTTCAAGTTTTGTGACTGGGATGCCGAGGATCACAAAACAAGGTGTGAATAACCATGCTAATTCACTTGGTGCCCTTAATATTATCACCTAATCAATGTGCCGGTTAACGACACACGCTCCATTGATCTATGACAAACATTAAGTCACCCTTCGTGATCCTTACTAGTCCTAGTTAGTGTGCCGGTTAACCACACACGCTCCACCAACGACTTGGTAAGGTACAAAGTGTGAATTCCATGGACTAGCACCATGTTCACATTTTCCTAAAATAACTAAGATTGGGAATTAAAAGAGTTTAGTTACTTTATAATATTCATTATACTTTTAATGAGGATTTAAAGTCATTGTTCTACCCGTTCGGCTAACGACCCTCCACCGATCAAGCAAGCGGTGGGTGAGAATGGACACCCATTAAGTCGCCATTTTATAGGCAACAACCTTATACCCACCTTATAGACCGTCTTCGTGAATGAGGCCTACTAACGGTAAAACGACTTATTCTTATACATATATATAATAATTAACCATTAATGTTATAAATAGTATAAGGGTTGAATTTTAACTATTAAAACTCTAAGGTTTGGAATTAAAGTTTATTAAAGTGTGTGAAACTTTACAAATTCCAAAACTTGAGGGCAGTTTTGTAACTTTGCAAAACTCTTCATTTCATAACTTATGAATTAAAGATTCATAAAAATGAAGACTCTTCATTTTCATGTAACTTATGTGTTTTAAGTGTGTGTTAAATAAGAGTGACCTTTGGAAATCCATAACTTGAGGACAAATTATGGACTCCATTAAAACACATAAATGATCAAGAATTAATCCTAAACAATTCAGCAAATAATTCCTATCATTTTCTAAATTCATAAGAACATGAACATGATCATCAAAAATTCAAGAATTATATGAACACATAAAATCATGGAATTTTGATATATGCTATTGTAAATGGATTAGAACAACCATTACACCAACTAAAATAAGTTTTATAACACCAAAACAGTTTAGGGTAATGTTTCTAGTCCATTTCCAGCAGCAAAAGTCGAAAAACTGCACTCTTTCGATCCTACTCGTCGAGTGCATGAACCTACTCGACGAGTAGCTTGAAGTTTGCCTTGGACTTGTCGAGTCCCCCCCATGGACTCGGCGAGTCCATCATGCAGACAGCAATGATTTCGACATTTTTCACTATTTTGCATCAAGTATCAAACAAGCAAGCCTAGGCTCTGATACCACTGTTGGGTTTTGAGCAATCTAACACTTCCTAAGTGTGCATGCAACCCTAATAAACCTTGGATCTATTTTTGTCTAAATACATGCAAAATAATAAATTTTCCAAGGTTTATAACCTATCTAACATGGCATGGGGAACATTTCAACATATAAGAGTTAGAAGAGATTACATACCTTTTGGTGAGTTTGGTTCTAAGGAGTTTGAGGGCCAAGCACCAATAGTGTGAATGCCTCAAATGGAATCACAAAACACCACAAACTCTTGGAAAACTTTGAGAGAGTATACACACTCTTGTATTTTTGGCTACACACATGCACATACACACTAGTTCACTAGTTTCTTCTTTTGGCTCCATTTCATGCTCCATAAGCATGCTTATATAGTGTGCATGGTTAGGGTGAAACCCTAATAACCCATGTCTTTTCCTTTCCCAGGATCCATGGGTTAAAAGCTCCATGGATCATCCATGGACTTCCATATAAGCCTAGCCCATTAACAAATGAGTATTAGCCCACACTATATAAAACAAATAGCCCATAATCTAATTAGTCTTCCTTTTAATCTCTAAATTAATTCATAATTAATTTAAGACTAAAACTAATTAAATAACGTAACTTCATATGAACATATTATAACTTATAATATATTAATAAACATATGTGTATAACTCTCATAAAATTATCCATAATAGTTTGGATGAGATGCAACCCAAATGGACCATGTCGTTCGGGTCAAGTATATACCAAATAAGTTATGGACTTAGACACCTTATCCAACAGATATTCCCAAAATTGCCTTCCGAACATTTTTACAGAAATTTCGAGTTCGTGGTAATGCCCTTCGGCCTGACAAATACACCTGAAACATTTATTGACCTCATGAACCGAGTTTGCCGACCATTCCTCAACAACTTTGTAATCGTCTTCATCGATGACTTACTCATTTATTCACGAATAAAGGAAGAGAAAAGTCAAAATCTAAGGTAGGTCTTAGAAACTCTGAGGGCGGAGAAGTTGTACACAAAATTCTCCAAATGCGAGTTCTGGATTCGCAGGGTGGATTTCTTGGGTCACGTAGTCAGTGAGGAAGGGATACATGTGGAGCCTTCTAAGATAAAGGCTATTGAGGGTTGGGCAACCCCGAAGACGCTAACAGAGATCAAAATATTCTTGGTCCTTGATGGTTGTTACACAAGGTTCATTCAAAATTTCTCCATAATCCCCAAGCCTCTCACCCGAAAAGGTGTACCCTTCAACTGGGATGCAAAACAAGAAGCTGATTTCCAAACTCTGAAGCAGGCCCTCTGCAGTGCTCCGGTATTGACGATGCCTGAGGGAATGGAAGAGTTCATAGTATATTGCGATGCTTCCAACTAGGTGTGTGCTAATGCAATGTGTATAGGTGATTGCATATGCGTCCAAGCAACTGAAAAATCACGAGGTGAATTATACTATCTACTATCTCTGTGGAAAAAATTGAACAATTTACATAGACCACAAAATCCTCCAACACATTCCAAATCAAAAGGAAGTAAACATGATGCGACGAACATGGGTCGTGCTGCTCAACGACTATGAATGTGAGATCAAGTACCATCCTGACAAAGCTAATGTGGTGGCCGACTCCTTAAGCTTGAAGGAATTCTTGGGCCGCTGAGTAAAAACACTAACAATGACTGTCCATTCCCACTTGTCTTCACAAATCAAAGAGGCTCATTTAGAAGCCCTGAAACCAGAGAACGCTGCAAATGAAGCTTTGCATGGAAGGGACATGAATTTCGCAATCAAGGAGGATGGAGCACACTATCTCATGAACCTCGTACTCGAATCTCGAACTAGCCTCCACCTAACACAAAGGATGAATATCTCTAATTAATACTCTTTTCATGACTCTAATAAACCGAAGGCTATTCTTTCTCTCTCTAAATCTTAAAGTGGATAAAAGACCATTTTACCCCTCCATGGTCTCCATTAATCATGTTTGACCAAACCCTAAAGTCAATAGTCCACGTTTGTCCCGACTCACCAAGTGCACCCGTGTGACTCGTCAAGTCCACTCGTTTCCTCAGAAGTCTTGTGAAGGTCCAGCTTATCTCGTCGAGTTAACCCCCAACTCACCGAGTTATCGCATGATCAACCTCATCGGGACAAATCCTAACTGAATCGTCGCGTCGGCTCATCGACTCGGCGAGTCCATTCAAACTCATTCCTCATTCATATGATTTCAAGGAAGAAAATATTTCCAAACTCTAGATCCATCACCCCAAGACTCTATTATCACATAAATCCACAAGCGTTACGTCAAGGCATGGCACTTAGGGCTTGAAAAGCCAAGAACATGATCTAATAAGGGTTTTTCACTCAAAAGATTTGTTATGGTTGAATAAAGTAATGACCTTTGGACTCTACAGGCCTCCCAAGGTCCAGATCTGAAGTCCAAATATCTAAATGCACTAAATACACTGAAAGTCCCAATATTAGTTTAAAAAAGCCCTAAACTCCATAACTGTGAGATCTACCCAACAAAATGTGCAAGGTGTGGACTTTTTACCTTTCACAGAAGCTGTTGGATGAAATAGCAATAGATCTAACAACCTATTCTTGTCCCTTGGCTTGAAATCTATCCCTTCTCTTCAAAAGATGCACCGAAGCACTCAATGTTAGCTCAAACACTCTTTCTTAGCTCAATAGCCGATTAGGGTTTCTGTCAGCGACGTTGGGTAGCTGGTGAGCTGGAAATGAGGCTACAAGTTTCCTTAAATAGGTCCCACACCCGGGGATTTAGGGTTTCATCACAGAGCATCTACTCGGTGAGTAGACTCTCTGACTTGTCGAGTAGGTTACTAGTCCCACGTGGCCAACACGACTCTAATCGATGAGTCGGGGCACCAACTCGTCGAGTCACCTAGGAAAGCTTAAAAAAAATAACATATAAAAATGGTATACCTCAGAGTCAGGATGTTACAAAATCCAAGCATGCTTCAAAATTCTACATACCACAAACCATTTATAAACATATAACATAAAAATTAAAAACCAAAAGGGTATTCATCCATCCATTCATTGCTTACTTTACTTCTCTATGGAAAGACTAAAATGAAAAACATCTACAAAAGTAAGTCCACCTTAAGGCACAACAATCTTCTTTTAATATAATTATCTGTAATAAAGAAGCTGACTGAAACATTATAATAAGAATTAACAAACCACTTAATAATAATAAAAACAATACCTGAGCTGGGGTTACTTTTTGCAAACCAAATTTCTAAATCAACATGGATTTAACATCCTCGGCAGCAAGAACCACCATATTCTTAACCTTAAGATACCTGAGTAGCTTCTCAAAGCAGTTGAAGAATAATTGAAGTACCTATGGATTCAATCAATGCATTCATAAGTTTTTTTACATACAAATAGATTAAAACAAACAATTAATGTTGAAAATGTGTAAATAAGCATGTTTACCTTTCCTTGGTTGGTTTCATTAGTATCAACTATTGGAAGCTCTGCAACATTTTCCCCAAATACATGAAACATTCCGGTTGTAACAACTGTTGACCCGCACAATTTACACTTATATTAATTATTATAATTACAACATTGTATATCATATAAAAATAAATAGAAAATCATAAGTGCGAGCATACTGCATTGTCAACATAGCACAATGTACTCGTGTGAAGTCGGAATCGCCCATTATCTGCCTATTGGTTGAAGAAAAAGAAAAGATAAAAAAAATTAGATGCTAAAAAGAAAAGTAAAAAATAAGTAAATTATTATATATTTGCTTACCCATATGCAATTGATGGAATAAAATCACTTCTAGTAATGGAATCAACAATAGGATTGAAGCATTTCTGTTGCAATCAATGAAAACACCAGCATAAGTAAATAAATTGTTATTAATTAATTAATCATTAGAAGCAGTGAAGAATAATAATAACATCAATTGTTTATAGTTTATAGATTATACTCACATGAAAGATACCAATAGCTTGTGAAAACAACACTTTGTTCTCATTAGAAACTTCTTTCCCACGCAAAACAATCCACTTCACATCGGAATAGCTGATTCTGTTCGCATTATAGACCATCGACTTCTCCGTTATTAAACCCATAAGAGAATTAGGGACCTTCACGGGCCCACATGCCACCAATCTCTCAAGAACCAAATTAAGTATTCCACAGTCCACACTATAGAACCAATTGCGAATTGGCAACTCCTGTAACACATGAACAATCAATCATATGTAACCAAGTGAAAAAAGTAGGAAATTTTAATAAATAACTAAATTCAAATTAACACACCTTCAGATCAATCTTCTTATGTTCCCTCGAACGGCTAATATGATATTCCCTCTCACACTGGAAGGTATTAGGGGATAAATCTAACTAACAGAAATGTAAACACAGCATAATTGAATTTTTTTTAAATGACCATTTTCAAACTTGGACCAAAACTGAAGCAAGTAGTATACCATAGGGACCAAATCTGTGATTTTCTTTTCATTCTTACATAAGGTTTATAAAATTTTAAATGTACATATGCCTATTTTGTTAAAAGTTTCATATAGTTAACAACGTTATATCTTTACCAAGTGCAAGGTATTTTAGTGAACAAGAGAAAATTTACAAACTTGGTTCCTATGGTATACTATTTTTTCAGTTGTAGTCCAAAGGCACAATGGTTATTTCAAAAAAGATTAACAGCTAAGCTAATAACTAAGACATTCCAGAGACCAAAATCACATGAAATAGTGATATAAGTGTTGGATTAGCGTCTAAGTCCATAACTATTTCGGTATGTACGTGACCCGATTATGAGCATGGTCCTTTTGGGTTGCCTTCACCATAGAAATATGTAGGACGAAATAAGAGATTAATTAAATATAGGGGATTGGAATTGTAATTATAAGATAATTGCAATTGGGCTATGGATCACCTTGGAATAATAGGTTGGATGAATTCTATGTGGAAGCCCATTAGAAATCGTCCAAGGCATGTTCTAGAAGGGGTCCATCGGCTGGTTAGGGCTTAAGCAGTTAAATTAGGGTTTCCTTGTTTGATAACCCTAATTGCCTAAGTATATAAGGAACCCTTGGGTACCAAAAACATGGATTACACTTCCTTTAGGGTTTCCAGACGTTTTTGAGTGCCTCTTCTCTTCTCATAATCCTTCTTGTTGCTCTTGGTGTTTTTGACTCCATTAGAGGTGCAACACATGAGGCACTAAGCTTTCTGAAGCCAAGGAATTGATTGTTATTACTACATAACAATCAATGTAAGATCTAAACCCTAATTCATATGTTAATTTGATTACTAGTATGCTAGTTCTAGGGTTTGTAAGTCTTGGAAGTTTATTGCATGATCAAAGTAGAAAAACTAGATCCAAGCAATTAGGATTGCATGAACACCAAAGGATTGATGTTATGCTCAAAACCCATCAGTGGTATCAGAGCCAGGTCGTTTTTCTATTGAATAGATGCATAATTGGACTGCCAAAGATCAAAAAAATTGAAAGTTTTGATGTCTAGAGCATGAACTCGACAAGTGCATACTGAACTCGACGAGTTTGGCATTAACTCGACGAGTTTGCTTGTGTGTTGCCGGGATATTCGATTTTTTTAGCAGATTTTGCTAAGGATAATTACCAAAACTCGTTTATATTGCCTAAAATCGATTTTTATGTTTGGAATGTTTATCCTTATCAAAATTAATGGATTTGGTTAAATATGGATAACATTAGATTATTATTAGATAAATATTTGACCTAGTAAGTTTGAATAGTTTCAATTTCTACCCTTTAGATTTTGTAGTTTAAATTTGAACTTAAAAATTCTGTTTTTGAAATTTAAATAGTTAAACCTTAATGTTTTGTAATGTTTCAAAATTTATCCTCAAGTTTTGAAATTTAAATTTTTATTAAAAGGTTAAATTTGAAATATTTAAATTCTAAACCCCAAGTTTGAAATGTTTCAAAACTTGCCCTCGAGTTTTGGAATTTAAAAGTTGATTAAAAGTTTAATTTTGAAATATTAAATTCTAAAACCCCAGTATTATGAAAAAGGTTCAAATTACACCGTCATGGTTTTGTTAAATTAATTAAAGGTTTAATTAAAAGAGAAAGTTAATAAAAACCACCTAATATTTTAAGAGTTTAAAATACACCCTATACTATATATATATATATATATATATATATATATATATATATATGTAACATTAAAAGTCCAATATTATATATATATATATATATATATATATATATATATATATATATATATGAGTAAAGAGTCAGTCTTACCGTTAGTAGGCCTTATTCACGAATCTGGTCTAGAAGGGGTGTTTAAGGAAATTGCGTATAAAATGGCGATTGAATGTGTATCCACTCTTACCCACCGCATTCTTGACTAGTGGAGGGTCGTTAGCCGAATGGGTAGGATAAGACAGAAACCTTCCATTATAAGTATAATAAAGTACAAAGTAACTACATGCTTTTACAAATTCCCAAATCATAGTTACTTTAGGAAAAACGTGAAATTGTATGCTAATCCATGGAATTACACTTTGTACCCTTATCAATTGTTAGTGGAGCGTGTGTGGTTAACCGACACACTAATTTGGGGGATATATTGGTAGCGAAGGGCGGCTCGATGCTTATCATAGATCAATGGAGCGTGTGTGGCTAACCGACACATTGATTAGGTGATAGTAGCATTAAGTTCACCACGTGATTCGTATGGTTATTCACACCTTATTTGTGATCCTCATTATCCCAGTTACAAATAGAAGGGCATAATCGAGATTAAACATGCTATTGAAAAGTTCAATGAATCTCAAAAGATCTAGGAGTTTCAATTCATTTAAAACTTAAATTTATTTTTTGCTTTTCGTGGTGGAAATTTGTAAATCGACATTTACCTACCTTCAAATATTCTGCAACTAGATTACGACATCCCTCTTCTAGGTTGTAGAGTATTGTGTTGGATCCTAGCTTTGATGTTTTATTTGGGTGTTACATCAAGGATTCTAATCAACTTAATTTGAATTTTCTCCCGTTTTGTATATGTATGAATCTAACAATGGTCTTCCCAAATCCCTTGGAACAAGTTTTCCAAACGAAGATGATATTCCATGATATGATCGAGGAACCAGAGATCATGCTTCACTTCCTCCACCTCCTCCAATTGTTCTTCCTAACCCACAAGTTCAAAGGCTTGAAAAGTTCAAGATCACTTAAGCCCTATTGGCAATTAAGCACAAAGATGGAAAGTCTATGTGGGACACATCTTAGAGATGAAGTCACACATTAACAGGTTGGGTATGTTGGGTGTTGTCATCCCCAAGGAGTTGGCTGTTGACTAGGTTCTTCATTCACTTCCTGAATCATATATTGAGTTCATTAGAGAGTACTATATGATGGATCACGACGTGACCCTCATTGATCTCACCTATTTGCTTACAGCTGCTGAATCAGCAATGATTTGGCGTGCTGGTCAAGTAAATTTGTCTGGTGAATCAAACTCCCAAACTTCAATGGACATGGAAAATGGTGACATTGGAGATCCAAAAAAGGTAAATTCTGAGATAGTTCATTGTGCCATTCCAAAAGAGTCCATTTGCTTTTATTGCTAAGAGAAGGGGCATTGGAGACGATGCTGCCCTGTTTACCTGAGAGATCTAAGAGATGGGAGAGTCAAGATGTATGGCTCTACTTCAGGTAAAATCCATTAACTAACTCTTTTATGTTCCTATTCTAGATTCTTAATACATGATGTGATAAGATTAGATTTTGATGTTTTGTAGGATCGAAGAAAAGAGAGGAAGCTTAAGAGAAGAAGTGAGCTGAATCTAATCGTAAAGAAATGGATTTCGATCGCATTGCTTGAAGATTAGATCCTTGAGCTACTACTTGGAGTTAGCATAGATTGCTAAGAAATATGTAATAACATATTTTTTCAATTGAATTGCATTGTAAGGACAAATTTTTCCGCAATAAAATAAATTTTGATTTTATCTTATTTATTTATCCTTGCAATGGCGTGCATGAAATATTGATATTTGAAGGTTTCTATTATTGGCAATAATGGATTTGATTCTTAATTATGTTATTTGTGGAGATCTCAAGAATTTACCAAATAAGGAGAGTTTCTCATCGCCTAAGTTTCAATTGGACAGAAACTTGGAATCATACAACTTGGTCATGTGATGAATAGGAAACTTTATAATTGGAAATTAAGGAATAATTCATTGACAAAGAGTCAAGTAAAGGACTAGGAGATCGAGTTCACAATGTTGTCCATCAATCAAGTCCACCACAAGAGATAAGATATTCGTCATGATTTACTAAAAGGTTTAGTAAATATGATTATACTTATAAGATTAAGTGTAATTCTGAGTTGATTGAAAGAGTTTCAATGAATGGCAGAATGAATAAAGAAGAATCAAGTAGGTATAAAGATAAAAGTTTCTCTATTCTAAGAAGAAGGGAGAGTACCTTTTATTGTGTTTTATGATAAGTCTTCATGATTAAAAACCATATCTCAATTTTTCCTCTAGGAAAGTCTTAGTACATTTGTATGTCTAAGAAGAGGAATCGAGAATTGTGGGAATGGTTAAATCAAGAAGTCAATAATACTTCGTTCCAATATCGAATCTTAGAGTCATACTCCATGATTGCAAATTGAGTGACAAGTCTTAATTAGGTTTATAACACTCATCAAATGTGGAATTTGGAAAAGTTTTTCTTACTCTTGCACATTTGAAATTGGTAAGTTGTGATGTCTTGGATAAGACAAAGACCGACTAGGACCAATTTGTGAAGTGTTTTGTCTTGATAATAAATGCACTAACTCTTGAATATTTGTTTGTCAAGAAATGTTTCTTGACAAAGCGAATCATATATGTCAAGAGGTCAGTGGGAGTTTTAATGATCTTCAAAAAGTTTCAAGAACAAATCAAGAATAAACCGTATCGATCATCACTAGCACACGACTTGAGGTTTACAACCAATCGTTTCGACATTATTTGGTTTCTGTGTAATTCCAATTGAGTTAATTATGCATGTGAGTTCTATAAGTTCTCATTTGAATGTGTATATACAAAGGGCCTTGATCGATGAAAAGTACATTGATATGTAAGGATAAGTTGCTAAATTACTTGGAAGACATGGTGGGCACTCGTGTTACCATAAGACTAGAAATTAAGAAAGTTCAGTCCATAAGAGTTTGAATTTGTCGCAGACTTAGTTTTGGAAAATTCACATGGATATGAGCACATACACCATAAAATCTAATTGTCATAAGATTCCCTCCTTCATGAAAATGACTGTGAGGAAATGCTTTCACTAAGAGAGATTTTAAGAAGATAGCAATTGTAAAAATTGTATTCTCAAATTCGATTATGGTTACGACATCCCTTTCCATAGTTCGAATTGTGAGATTTGGCAATTAGTCTAACATTTGGGACTTATTGATATAAG